ATGTTTTTAATTTCTTTAAACTCTGTTATAGTTCTAGCCTTCACAGCCTCCTGTGGCAAGGAGTTCCACAGGTTAACTATGTGCTGTGTGAGGAATAACTTTTGCTTATTAGTTTTAAACCTGCTGTCCATTAATTTCATTTGGTGTCCTCTAGTCCTTATATTACGGGAACTAATGAAGAACTTTTCTTTATTCACCCTCTCCACATCACTCATGCTTTTATAGACCTCTATCATATCCCCCCTCAGTCTCCTCTTTTCTAAGCTGAAAAGTCCCAGTCTCTTTAGCCTCTCTTCATATGGGATCTGTTCCAAACCCCTGATCATTTTAGTTGCCCTTTTCTGAACCTTTTCCAAGGCCAAAATATCTTTTCTGGGGTGATGAGATCACATCTGTACACAGTACTGTAGATATGGCTTACCAAAGTTTGATACTTCCCCTTCTCCTTCTTCCCCTGGTTTCCCCCTTCCAGCTCCCTCCTCCCAGGTTTCCTCCTCCCCTCTCCCACCCTCTCTCTTCCCACCTCCTTTTCCCTGTCTCCCCGAGTTTTGTTCAATAAAGAGAGTTTCTATTTTTGAACACGTGTCCTTTATTTTTTACATCAGGAAGGGGGGCTAGGGAGGGGTAAGTGGAAGGAGGTGAGGGAGGAATGGGGTATAAGCCCCTGATGGGGAGGACTGGCGTGGCTCTGCAGGCTCATTGCGGCAAGAGCAGCCGGGCTGATGGCCAAGTGCTGTGATGTGCCGAGTGTGGGCACTCAGGGCACTCCAAGATAGGACTGCTTTGTTGTCCCTCATCGAGTTAGACAAGCGAGTGGGGAAACCCTGACAACTGTCTCTCCGGGGTGGGAGTTGGGTCCCTTTAAGCACAGCCCTCGGCTAGCCTGAGACAGCAGCTCAGCACTCTAAGTCCTAGTCTGATGCCCTGCCGGCACTGCTTCCGGCCATCCTTAACTTCGGTTCAGGGTCCATTCAATGTGGACATGCTAGTTCGAATTAGCAAAACCCTAATTCAAACTAGTTTTTAGGTCTAGATGCACTAGTTCGAATTAGCTTAATTCGAATTAACTAATTCAAATTAAGTTAGTTCGAATTAGTGCTGTAGTGTAGACATACCCAGAGAGAGGGTCCCCAGAATGAGCTCAGGGCTGAGCTTGGTCAGGACCAGAAAGGCTGTTCGGGGGGGTCCCTTTAAGCATGTGTCTCTGCTAGGCTCTGGCACCAGCATGCGGAAGCAACTGGTGACCTAAAGCCATGCCTGAAGTGGTTCCAGGTGGCCTTTTATGCAATATAGCATCCAATCAGTCTGGTTGCTATCTTTTGAAAAAGCAGATTGCTTTTTCGATTCACTTCACCAGTGTGGACTCGCTCTTTTGGAAGAAGTTTTTTCAGAAAAAAAAAAGAATCCTGCAGTCTAGACATAGCTGAGAGGAGGAGTGTTCTAGTATGAAGAATTTGCAGATTTGGGAAATATATTTTGAAAGACGAGAGAAAAGTTGCAGAGCTAGAGCTGAGCTAAAGCAGTATGAGAATCAGGAAAAAAGAAAATCTGATACTGCATTCTTTTCTCTTGTCTTTCTCAGTGTTACTGGAAGCTGCTTTGAAAATGCAGAAGGCTCCTAAAAAAAAATATAGCTCTTGCTTTAGGAAGAAGACATCTGCAGTGATAGACACAGGTACTAAAGTGTTTTATCCAAAGTTCCAACACCTGCATTTTTATTTTCTTTGCATTACACAAGCATGATCAGTGGAAAGATATTTCTGATAAATGAAGTCAAGTGTGATCAGAAGCTGTTTTTTGTGACTTAATTTAAGTAGCGTCTTGAAATTGCAGTACTTATGGGTAAATGCCAATTTAAGTCACCCAACAGTTGAAATATTGTTTGTCAGATATTCAGAACCCAAGTAAATGATCCCAGACTGCCTGGGTAAAGAAGGTCTAGTCTTGTCAACATTTAGGTTCATGTATTTAATGTGAAGAAGAATTATGTATGAACTATTTTCCTGTCTTACCTGAATGCTGTTTCCAAACCATACCAAATTCATAGACATTAATTTTGCTTCTGGATCCCTGATTAATTATAAAGCATACATAGGTATTTTGGTTTATATTATTATTAGCAATCCAGGGAAAGAAGAGTGAGCCATGAAAGTTCCGGAAAGGTTGATCCACCCATTGTGAGTACATTTAGTCATAGTGACTGCATTAAAAGTTACGTTTTAGAGAGTGTAATCTGTCAATGTCGTTTAGACTCACTGTTGTAAATGAGACATTCAGTACTATCTGCACTAAGCAGTCTTTTTTTCTGTAATAATGCTTCTAATGCTGAAGATGCACTCAAAGTAAATGCCAGATGGCCAATAAGTCAGGTTGAGAATTGTAATTTTAGTCAGCGCTGTCAACAGCTGGCATCAGTGAAGGATCTTCCACTGATCTTAAGGCAGACTAAAACAGTGTAAATTTCCCCTCCACCCTCCAAGTACAATTAATTTAGAAATAGCATAGGAGTATATTATTTTGGGCTATTGGGCTATTCCTCTAAATAGTTTAGAACATTGTGACAAGGATACCAATTTTTCACTCCTTTACACCTGCTAATACATATTCATAAAAGCACAAGGTGGGAAGTTATGCATAAGCAACAGAATACAGCACCATTGGGACCTGACCAGTCATGGAAAAAGAAGTTGTCAGACTGGGAGAGGTGGGGAAAGGCCAGCCTCCCTGCTGGGCTCCTCTCCCTGGCCACCAAGTTCCACTGTCCCCTGACCCCACCAGCACCAGCAGCCCTACCAGCTCCATGGCCCTGCGAGCTCCGGCAGCCTTGCCAGCTCCTTGCCTCCATGCACGCCGGCAACCCTGCCAGCTTTGCTTTCCTGCAGGCTCTGCAGACACGTGGGCTCTGCAGGCTCTGCAACTCCGTGGGCTCTGGTGGTTCTGCTGGTTTTGCTTCTTCAATGGCTGTGAACTCCTTCTGGCCCCACAGGCTCCAGTATTGCTGTTGATTTTGCTGCCCTGTAGGATCTATGGTCCTGTAGACACTGCTGCTTTGCTGACTGGAGAACTCCACTGCCCCACTGGCCCTGCTCTCTGGCTCCACTCCCGGTTGCTGCCAATCTCTGCCACAGGAGTTCTCTGGTCTGGCAACATCCATGACTCTGCTGGACCATGGCTGTGGCAGACCAGCGAGTCCCAGTCCACAGATGTTCAACCTGTATTGCATGAAAATGTCATCTTAAGTGAGCAGGAGAGATTTAGGTAAAAAAATTAACACAATCTTTGAAATTAAAACTTCTATAAACCTAAGCTAAACTACTGTATTGAAGAAATTCAGCTTTCTACATGGCAGATGATTTAAGACTGAGTATCTACATGAGTCCTTGAGTGCACAGCAAGAGTCAGAGATACAACAGGTATAGAATAAAAGACTAGATAAATGCTAGAGATGCACTCAAAGATATTTCATAAAATATTTGCTTGGAAAAAGTTAATTTTTTCTCCCAAATTTGAAATTAAATATTTTTCAACAAGCTGTAAAAATAGCATTATTTATAAGTATGTGCGAGTGTCACTTTGGCCTTCTTATCACTTTTTTAGAGACTCCAATGGGTGCGGAATAGCACATGGATTGGACAGAGACATCTCTTAGGAGAGGGTCTATTAACAGGGATTCTCTATGTTCTAGTCAGGAGAAAAGGATGGAAGATGATAAAGTCAGATCAAATGAGATGCAATCAAATGAAAAAGAGTCTAACACATCAAGAAATGGAAGACAGATAAACAGTGACAAATTATTAAAATGTTTATACACAAATATCTTAAAGCAAGATATTGATATAATAGGCATTACAGAAACTTGGTGAAATGAGGACAATCAATGGAGCACAGTCATACCAGGGTACAAATTACATCAGAAGGACAGAACAGGTCATGCTAGTGGGTGAGTGGCACTATATGCGAAAGAAAGTGTGGAATCAAATGAAGTAAAAATCTCAAATGAGCCAAAATGTTCCATAGAATCTCCATGGATAGTAATTCCATGCTCTAATAATAAGAATATAGCAGTAGGGATATATTATCAACCACCTGATCAGGACCGTGATAGTGACTATGAAATGTTAAAGGGAGATTAGATAGACTAACTAATTTAAAAACTCAATAATGGTAGGGGATTTCAGCTATCCCTGTATTGACTGTGTACATGTCAACTCAGGATAGGATGCAGAGCTAAAATTTCTTGATATCTTTGTTACAGAAGAAACAGGCGACTCAGGAGTAGATGGGATAGAAAGGACTACTTTATTACCTATACACGTTTACCTTGGACATTCAACCCAATGTTGAAGTGGCCACAACCTGCTGTTAATCACACACTTGTATCTGTGTTAGTATGTTAATTCACATGTCTCTCACTATTTTTCCTAAATCTTATTTAGTAAAGTTAATTCCCATAAAATGAATATTAATAAGTAGGTGATTAATACAATTATACCCGCCCTTATTTGTTGTTTACTGGTTTTTAGTTGACTCAGCATTACATAGTATCTTAATCAGCAGCTTATAGGGAGGGGGAAAGCACTTCAACCCTGGAAATGATTCACAGAGCCAATGAGGATAAGCAAGAGACACAACAAAATAGAGTAGCTCCATACTTACCTGGTTTCCTAGGTTACAGAACAGAGAGAGAACAAGGTTTTATATATCAAAACATAATACCCCTCAACTGGATTCTATCATCCCAAACTACAAAAATTAAAGGAAAAAGCATGTTTAAGAAAAATTCTGTGGCCTGACCCCGGCCTCTAATGCAAAAGGTCACTAAAGCAAAAGGCCATTCTGAACCTATTGATTTTTACAACCCCCAACAACTTTAAATATCTGCTTCTTAGATAAGCTAGTTCTGGAACCCACAAGGACAGAGGGAATTCTTGATTTAGTCTTAAGTGGAGTGGAGGATCTGGTCAAAGAGGTAAATATCACTGGACTGCTTGGAAATAGTGACCATAATGTAATAAAATTTAACATCCCTGTGGAGGGAAAAACACCTCAGCAGCCCAACACTGAGGCATTTAATTTCAGAAAGGGGAACTACACAAAAATTAGGAGGTTAGTTAAACAGAAATTAAAAGGCACAATGCCAAAAGTAAAATCCCTGCAAGCTGCATGGAAACTTTAAAAGACACCATAATAGAGGACCAACTTAAATGTATGTCCCACAGTAATAAGTGAAGTAAAAGAACCAAAAAAGTGCCACCATAGCTTAACCACTAAGTAAAAGAAACAGTGAGAGATAAAAAGGCATCTTTTAAAAAGTGAAAGTCACATCATAATGAGGAAAATAGAAAGGAACATAAACTCTATCAAATTAAGTATAAAAATGTAATAAGAAATGCCAAAATGGAGTTTGAAGAACAGTTAGCCAAAAACTCAAAAAGTAATGGCAAAATGTTTTTTAAGTACATCAGAAGCAGGAACCAGCTAAACAAACAATGGGGCCCTTGGATGACCAAGATGCTAAAGGAGCACTCAAAGATGAGAAAGTCATTACAGAGAAACTAAATTAATTCTTTTCTTCAGTCTTCACAGCTGAGGATGTTAGGGAGATTCCGAAACCCGAGCCATTCTAGGAGTCACTAAATTAAATGAATAGGTAGCAGGTTTCAAACAAACAAAACAAAAACAAACAAAGGGAAGGGTTTTTTTTCATGCACAACACAGTCAACCTGTGGAACTCCTTGCCAGAGGATGTTGTGAAGACCAAGACTTTAAAAGTGTTCAAAAAAGAATTATATAAACTCCTGGAGGTTAGGTCCATCAATGGCTATTAGCCAGGATGGGTAGAAATGATGTCCCTAGCCTCTGTGTGTCTGGAAATGAATGACAGGAAAGGGATCACATGATGATTACCTGTTGTGTTCACTCTCTCTGGTGCATCTGGTATTAATCACTGTCAGCAGATCACTGTCAGCAGATGGACCTTTGGTCTGACCCAGTATGACCATTCTTATGTTCTCAAAAGAGAGAAATACCATGTCTATACTCAGGTGTAGCTTAGAGGCAAAGCAACAAATCTAGAAACTCTGACCAAGAAATATTCCAAAAAACTTATTACAATTTAAGTTGTTTTCATTTAAAAAGATGATAAATTTAGAAATGAAATATTTTTCCTTTAAATACAAACATTTGCTGTGAGACAATGGTGGATAAATTAATTAAACAAACAATCATATAATCCAAAAAAGAAATATTTAAAATTGTATCTCATATATTCGGGTGAAAAACTTTAATGTTTTAGTTTTATCTAGAAAAATATCCGATAACAGTTCTGGTCCATACTAAGTTTGTGTTCCATTGGTTGAATGTGATATTTCCTATAGTACTTGTTTTCATAAGTGTTCAGAACTACAATAAAATGTTCAGTCTCCAGGAACAGGAAATGTATTATTAAAATATAGTTCGAGTTTTGAAGAAATCACGAGTCATCTCTTTGCATAGTAATACCACTAAATTAATAGTGTTGTAAGTGAAAAACTTGTTCAAATAGATTTATGATTTCATTACTGCAGCAATTTTCATCAAGCTTTCTTAAAAAGGCAGTTGACATCATATGTAATAAAAATTATGTGCTATCCAAAGTATAGAGTTTTGACTTTGTGTTGATCTTAACTCGCCAACTCTGTTTTCAAGGCCAAAGAAAGAGTAATAATTAAAGGAAAGTACAATTTTGTAATCGATTTGTGCTACAAAAGGCAGCTGTCAACTATTAGAAAATAATAGGTGTTTGTAAGACTGATCCTTGAGTTGCACGTGTTCAGCATCTCTGGGGATTAGAGCTCACTTGGCTTTGATACCATCAACACCATGAATCTAGTTTTTGCATTCAACTTGCTTTTGAAAGTCAGATGGCTCAGTACCCTTGATATTTGCTTGTATTTGGCTCAAATCAACAAAGAATTGTGAAAAATCACTTGCGGGTGGAGACATCCCCAGCTGGATAGATTGTTATCACTGATCCATAAAGAGGTTTTTATTCCACATGTGTAGAGTCTGGGAAATTTTCCAGATTTAGTTTAAAAACTGTGAGGTGCTCATCAGCATCATCTGTGTTCAATATTCAAAAATACCAGTATAATTCCAATAATTTTCTCCCTATAGCAACTGATCTAGCTGCATTTCTGAAGGCCAGGTCTACACTAATAGGGAACATCAAAGATGGAGATGCACAGATCCAGCTACATTAATTCTGTAGCTGGAGTTGACATACTTCATTTCACATTTCCCTGCTATCCTTACTGTGGGAGGCCGACAGAAGCAAATGCTCCCATAGATTTCCCTTATTCCTCGCACAAGCAGGAGTATTGGCAGCTGGTGGAGGAGCTTTCTCAATTCAATTTAGTGAGTCTTAACAAGAGACCCCAAATTGAACTCTGGCAGATTGATCACAGCAGTTTAGTGTAGACATAACTGAAGTGGAAGTAACTCTTTTGTGCATTTACAGATAGGTGGGGATAGTATGTGTGGCTGAGTCAGTGTAAGTGGAAGTAACTTACGTTGTTGTGTTTTCTTACTATAAATTATGTTTTGTGTAAGACTCCAAACACGGTGAAGGTATTTTGCCATGATACAAATTACTTAAGGATCTCATGGATTTTCTGTTTCTTAAAATCTTTACTTCAAGATTAGATGTCTTTCTAGAAGTCCACTAGAAGTTAAGAACTTGATGAAAGAATTTCTGAAATGTCATAGTTTGTTTTATGCAAGATCTCAGACTAGGTGATCATAATGTGAGGGCAGAGAGCCCTGACCAGGGCATCGGGGAGGAGGAGGAGGAGAGCCAGGAGCCGCAACAGACCAGGCAGAGGGTGCTGAGCAGCCAGAGCAAGCCACCCCAGCGGGCCTGTTGCCAGTGTCATCCGAGGCCAGGGAGGCAAAAACAGGTGAGTGCCATCACTGTCCCCTTATGCAGGGGTAGGAAGGGGACAAAAACCAGGAACTGAGCATGTGGGCCTTGCTGTCCATGGATCATGCAGCAACCTATACATGTGTGAGCATGTGCCGCGCCACCCCTGGGCATGTGGCCCCAGCTGGCTGCCACACAGGGGCCTTACCCTGTTAGCCACACTCAAGTGTGAAGAGACATGACATTCTTCTGACCCTGAGGTGGGACACAGCAAGATGCCCTTCCTCCACGAGGCAGGGGACAGCTCCCCCC